TGCAACCATCAAACGCATCAAAATCACCATTTTTCCCAATTTTCCCGAAACCTCAAAAAATGAGAATTTCTTCAAATTCAACCAATGATTTTCAACGTTCTTACTCCCAATGAGTCCTAGAATCCCTATGCAGCAAACAAGTTTACAATCTAACTTCCCTTACCTTAGAGAAGTAGAATCCGAGCTCCGGGGAAAAGAAAAAAAAGGAGAAGAAGGGTTGGGCTTCCAATTAGCTTTTCACGCCTCTACTTAGCACCTTCAACCACAACAATCACCACAAGGAAGCCTAAGAATTTGAAACCAAAGAATAGGAAGTGAGGAGAAAATGAGAGTGTTGAGGGGAAGGAGGAAGAAGAAGCGGGTCTTACACTTATTACTGATTAATTATTAAAAAAATATTACTAAACACAATAAAAATAAACTTTATTTGATAGTTATAAAGAAAACCATATTTTATAAATGATTTAACTAGAAAAATAAACGAATTAAAATGGTGTTTTTAGTAACTTTAATTAATCTAAAAATTAAAATAATTACAAAACATAACTTAACTCTTGAAGAAGAAAAAAATATTATTATTATTGTTATTATTAGACACAAAAGTGAAGATAATAGAAAAAAATATATTAGATATTATAGAAAAGAAAAAAGAAAAAAATTATTTATTTGCGGAAGGAATTCAAAGATAAGCTAAAAAATATATTTGTTTAGAGTTTATACAAAAGTACCCTCATGTCACTTTTAAAAAAAAAAAAGTTTAAAAAGTTGGACATGTGACGCAAAGACAATGTTATTAAAGTTAATTGCAAAATAATATGTCACACAATTGACTTTGATGAAACTTTTTTTTTAATTTTTTATGTGTGACCTAAATATATATATATTTTTTTCCCAAATGTCCCGTTGTGGGCATTGTTATATTTTTTTTTATTATGTGACACAATAATCCCTTGTAAGACATGTATATAAATTTATTTAAGTTTTGAAAGGGTCTAATGCACCACACATAAACAAAAAAAAAAGGTTTCGTTGGAGCCAATTGTGTGACATGTCATCCCATAATTGACTCTAATGACACTGTCTTGGCACCATGTGTTAAAATTTTGAGCCTTTTTAACGATAATTTTTTTTTAAAAAAATGTTGTGACATTGGTGGATTGACTAGTGACACTCCATGTTAACTACCCTAAAGGTGTAATACTTTGTAACAACCTCATATTGGAAATTAATTTTCATAACAACCCCAAATGGGCTAAAACATCATGATTTGCATGTAGAACATTTAGAGTAAAGATATAGATATGTCACCATCTAGGATTTTGCACATCATCAACCTATTGTATTTGCATGTAGGATGCGTGCAATAGTTGATTATGCACTTGAGCATGATGTGTATATGCAACCTGAGCATGAAAAGCCTCAATACTTGCTGCCTCCACATGTAATTGCCTTAGGAGATGGCTTCCCCAAGGCTTGAGGAAGCGGAGATATAGTTCTAATGTAAATGTTTCCTAATTTGAAGACATAATAATTATATACGTGGAAATGATTTAATATAATTTTTTTAGGATCATAGAGAGTTGAAGTTAGTATCCTATGGAAGAAAGGTGACCAATTTTGGGCCCCCACACCATCATATATGAGATACTATTGATGGCTCTAAATCTACCCTTTCTATCACTTGTAGCAAAACTCGACAAATAAGGGATTACTTTCTACTTTTATTGAGAGATGGTATTCGAAGACTTGTTGTTTTCATTTATCGGTGGGAGATATGACCATTGCACTAGATGATGTATCTACTTTGTTGCACCTCCACGTTATTGTTGCATTCTTTACATATGAACTTGTGACGACAAACGATGTCATTACACCACTAACACAACTCTTGAGTGTCACTGAGGACGAGGTGCTAAGACTCGCATGATTAAAGGTGAGTCTGTTTGATTATCATGATTAAGGAATTTTTATGATAGCAAGTATGCCCAGTTATAATGTACATCGGTGGCCAAGACATACATGTTACATTCAGTTTGTTTCACTATTTTTGTTAACAAGAGTTTCACCTTTGTTAATGTCTCATTTTTGGAGTTTTTCTATTACCTTTGGGGCTGTAGAGATTATGCATGGGACATAGCTATGTTGACATACATATGACCAACTATTTGAAAGTTGCATGTCTAACACCAAGCAGTTGGTCAATTACACGACCTTACTTCAAGTAAATAACTTTGTTTAAACTTTTTTAATTACTATTGTATTAAAGAAAATTAACTATTATATTGTCATAGGTTTGATTTATGAGCATTTATCATTTGCTGGTTTAATGGGTTGTGTTACCATTTACACTAAGATAAATCCACAATCTGAGTCATTGGAAATTTGGAACACTATTACTAGTTGTCACATATCGAACGCAACTAGATGAATTCACCACAAATGTTTTTTGGATTTCATACAATGACCATCATATAGGACTGTCATTTCAAGCCATCTCATTATACTCTAGTTACATTAGATGGAAGCCTATGATGTACTTGCACTTCTAGAGAGAGTATTGTGCCAATATGGGTATATTTAGACTATTCCTCGATCATCTTCTAAGCTATGAGATGTACCTACTACTTCGATTGAGATGGATGAGAGGTGGTTGCATTTTGTAGACCACTTAACACTTACTAGAACATGGGTAGTGCAATCCTCTAATGTTGTTGTTGGCTACATGGAATGATACCAAAGGATCTCCTACCATTATTGATACCACCACCTTAGGGACAATTGCCTAGAGTTCCACTTGTATTTATGCAAATACTTAGGACATATATATGTTACATCATCTAGTGCCAATCGTCAAGAGATACATCATGAAATGGTAAGTTACTAACTTTACAATGTTATTATACCATTCCATATGGAGGATATTTTTATACTTAATTTTCTATCTATGTATACTATGATTTGAGGATGGTGACTCAGGACACATATGCATATAATCATATGGAGTAGATGCTTATATTAACATGTGGTGTCAAAGATGTTAGAAATGTATATATGCACAACAAGGATATGAGGGTTAGGGGTAGGGGTGGATGAGACGGTCAGAGAGGGAAAAGAGATTGTGTATGTTATTTATTTGATTATATGTTGGTAAGCACCTTTTGGTCCTATTAGTAGTGTATGTTGTCATTGATCAAAAGAATAATATGAATGAGGATTTTAGTTTTGTTAACTTTGTCGACAAAGAAGATGGACATAGAGCTCTTAGTAAACTAAATGTTGTCTTTTTTGTCCTTTTTAGTTTTGGTTTTAAAGGTTTATCTATTTTCATAGAATGAGTCTTGTACTATCTGTACATGTCACGAATGATAGAAATGTATATGTGAACATATGTTATTTATTTGATGATTGGTGTTAACATTACAAATTAAGAAATCCAAATTGATAATGGTTGTTTTGGAACACTCATTTCACAATGATATATTGTGTTTTGAAACACTCATTCCATATTGATATATTGTGTTTTGAAATATCCATTCCAAAATGGTAACTATGTGTTTTAAAACACCCACTCCAAAAAAGAATGCAAGATGGGTGTTTCAAAATATGTAAATGGTAGTTTAGGCATTTAAAAAAATGATGAGTGCAAAAAAAAAAAAACCATCACATTTTCCTATATCAAAACACCATTAAGGTAAAAGATTAGGGTTGACCTTGGGTCTAGCATTAAGGTCGATTTTGTCGATAACTAATCTTCATCGGAGAATAAGGCTGGTCACCTTCAATGAGATCTCCCCTCCTAATCATGTATTTTTTTTCATATATAAGACTCAAATCTGAGATCTTATTTAAGGGAATTGAGTTCAATACCACTTGGACCAATGATTTGTTGGTCATTACATACTTATTAAATGAAAGAAGAATATCAACACTTTGAAAAATAATGTGTTTACTTTTAAAAGAGAAAATAGGTTAGAGTGTATAAAGAATTTTAATATTCTCACTTAATCACAACTTAAGACATACATAAGTAATCATGTTAATGAATGATCTCTGTAAAAGAACTTGACTAACTTATTTTCAATGAAATCTTCCTTTCTAATCATCACATTTTCCCATATCAAAACACCATTAAGGTAAAAGATTAGGGTTGACCTTGGATCTAGCATTAAGGTCGACAACTAATCTTCATCGCAAAATATGGTTGATCACCTTCAATGAGATCTCCCTTCCCAATCATATTTTTTTCATATATAAGACTCAAATTTGAAATCTTATTTAAGGTGATTGAGTTCAATACCACTTAGACCAATGATTTGTTGGTCATTACATACTTATTAAATGAAAGAAGAATATCAATACTTTGAAAAATAATGTGTTTACTTTTAAAAGCGAAAATAGGTTAGAGAGTGTATAAAGAATTTTAATATTCTCATTTAATCACAACTTAAAGACATACATAAGTAATCATGTTAATGAATGATCTCTGTAAAAGAACTTGACCGGCCTATTTACAATGAAATCTTCCTTTCTAATCATGTTTTTTTATCAACAAAACTCTAATTTTTTCTTCTTAACCATTTTATTAGTATTAAAAAGTTTTCCTCTCAATATAATCTATTTCATATAAATTGTTATAACTTATGTTAATCAATGTTGGTTGTACAAAACTCTAAACATGAAACTTTCCTTAAGAGAAATTTAGTATTACTTAGACCAACAATTTATGAATATATAATAAATTAATTGACTTTTAAATTAAAACTTTAAAAATAAATTTTATTGGTTGATATTTTAACTATTTTACAATTAAAAAAATATATTTATTTTATAATAAATACATTAAAAACATATTTATATAAGTTTTAGTTAAATATTAATATATCTTGTCTATACATGTAATTAAACTCAATTTTAATCTAAAGTTATAGAAAATAAAGGATGAAGATGAACCAAAAGGTTGCGTTTTCAATATAATTTTTGTTGATAAAATATATGCTATTTCAATTTGACTTTCTCAAAGCATATCATAAATTCATAATTCATGTTCCACTGACTCGATTTCTTCCCATCAACTTTCAAATTCCATATCACCTTTTTTTTTCTTGATTGATCAAACAAAACAAATTTCTATATCACCTCATCTTGGCAACGCTGTCGTAAATAGACAAACACGAACCCTAATTTTCCGATTTCCTTATTTGGCAACACCAAAATTCAAGCCTCACAATTCCAGGTTACGAAGCAGAAGCATATTTCTGTTTCTGGTTTAGTTGAGTTAATTCCCCTTCTTTCCAACACTTGTCCAAAGCCAAAGCTTTAAGCTTTCTCTGTGCATTTTGTTCCAGTCCAATTAATATATCAGATAAAGAAATGGGGTCTGTGATGAGTTTGTTTTCTTCAAAGATTAGCAAAGAAGACTTGGAATTAGCCTTGACTAAGGCTAAGGAGATAGTATCCTCTGGTCCTGTCATTGTCTTCAGGTATTTTTTTTCAATATAACCATTTTCCTTGCTTCAAATTTGTTTCATCCATGTAAGTCTAAGAATTCACTTTAAATAACCAAAGGATTTAATTAAAATTTAAATACAGTAGTTTTGTGGTTCATAATAATCCTAACTAATCACTCAAGTAGATTGTGGAACTAGGACCAAGAAAATATACTAACAGTGTAATTCAATCATATATTGACATGAATATTAAAAAACTTTAATTTTGTAACAATTACCTGAAATTTATTCACTGAAATCAGGATGGTTACAACTTTCTTTGTAAATTTTAGGAGAAAACCCACTGAACTCCTTTGAGATATTTTTGTTTAGGTTTTATACATTAGCAAGTCCTGAAACTTTTTGAGAATTTTTAATTAGACCCCTAAATTAAAAAAAAATTGTAATTGAATCTTTAATCTTTTACAATTTTTATAATTGAGTATATGGAGCTAATCTATATCAACTTGAAACCGCCACTAAAATAATAATTTGTAGCAGATTTATTGATTCCAGTATCCTAATTACAAAAGTTGTAAAAAATTAAGGATCCAATTACTAGTTTTTTAGTTTAGAGTCTTGATTAAAATTTTCAAAAAGTTTAGGAACTTATTGATACATGAAACCTAAATAATACTCACACTCTTTCTAATTTGTG